TTTTATATATCAATATTATTAGACCTAAACACCCAGGAATATATTTCTGGGTTGGTTGAGATTATAACGAGATATTAAGATAGAAATGTTAAATTATAATTTTATATAATTATTATTTATATAATACAATCTACTCATTATACGGAGAATGTGCCTCCTACAACAGTTTCTTATACGTAAAACTACAACTGCTGTCGTTTATTTCAAGATTATTATTATTATTTTTCAAATTTAAATCCCACTCGTTAAGAAGCGGCATAAAATACGAATACAATTCATCTAGATATAGAAGAAACATTGAAACATATATGGGGTATAATATTTTTAGATAAAAATTTTAATAACATCAATACTAAAAAATTTAGAAGACAAGAGAGATTAATAAGAACGATAAAAGTGCATGAAATACTCTACCGAACAAAGCCGACACAGAAACCTTATCCAATACATGATGGTTTATTATTAATAATATAAAAATTCATAATAAATACAATGAAAACAGTCGATCGCAGTCAAATTACGGAGTTCAATTTACTTATAATTAATTACTATACTTGGGTTACTTTTACTTTTTATAAGCAAACTATATAATTATAACTCAAACATCTGTGAGACACGAATGCCTAAACAGATTACGAGTCAAATAATATAATTTTAAATGTATGAATACATTTAAAATTATATTATTTATAAAAATATTCATTGATATATTTATATTAAATTACTATACACGTGTTCGTGTGTTCATCCTAAATACTAATTAAGCTATCAGGCGGTGTTTAAATTTTAATTTTTCCTTTTTTTTATTCTTATCCTACCTAAAAACTATTAACAACAGGGTTGTGTGAATATGTTAGACTTAAAAGTTAATAACGAAATTTTACGGCATCAGTGCACACATGCGTGTGACTTCCTAATACTATTCTTACGTGTTATTGATATATTAGGTCAAAAAACAAAATGGTTGAAATCACACCAACGCCACGTTGATTAAGATGGGAATGTTACGAAATGGAGTCGAATGTTATGGTGAGAATGGTTATTTGATTGATGGCGTATGAATGTAATGTGTTTTTTTTTATGGGAAAAAGGGGCAACTGAGCAGACGGCCTACTTGATGGTAGGTAGTTACCGTCGCCCATAGACATCCGCAACGTAGATTTGCGGAAGTGTTGCCGCCCTTCATTGGGGCAAAGGAGGAGGAAAAGGTGGGAAAGGGAGGGAAAGGAAAGGGTGGGAAAAGGGAAAGGGCAACCGGCACTCTCACTCACCGGACGAAACGCAGCCTTTAAAGACTACTTTACGCCGATTTTCTGTGAGAGGGTGGTACTTCCCCGGTCGAGCCAGCCCATGTTCGAGCTGTAGTAAATTGACTACAGCTAGGCTCTGCCACCTCACAAATGGATGGTATGGATATATGAACGATCATTGCATAGTACCAGCGATGTTGGTGTGCTTTCATCTCAATATGTCATCTGTCAGCAAAAGGCACGATGTGTTGAGCACGGATGGCAAAAAGAAACGTCATTAATATGGTTAAATTAACGTGCTAATTTAATTTAGTGTCCGTTAAAATCGTGTTAAAAAGACGAAACTAAACCCTTAACTAACATCGACCATCACTGGTACCAACGACACGATTACGCGACATCGTTGGCCCGTGGAATTACAGCTTAGTATAATTATAATAAATCCATTAACACAATAACATATTAAATAGATTAAAAACACGAAGACATATACGGACAAAATATAGACAGACGTTCTAAATACTACCGACGCTATAATCGCTATAAGAAAATCTATTTGAAATTGTTAAAAATTACACAAAATACATGAAAATACAATAAGTGTGACATTAAAATACATTATTAAATGAAGCGTGACCTAATGAATTATTAAAGCAAATACTACACAGTATATAGAATATGCGATTATACAAAGATTATATAAGATTTGAAATAAGCAAGACAATAAAAATTAAGCGAAACCTAATTACAGAACAGGTCATTCTGGACCGCTGTTCTGTCTAGCTAAAACTACTCGAATCTGCCTCCATTAGTTTCTTCAATATCATTCTTACATAACATTATAACTATATTAAATCCTAGACTAACCCTAATATAGATGATAGATGACAAAAAATATAATAAGAATTCAAATAGATAAAATTACAAGAGAGAAAACGCGAGAAGAAACTAGGTAAGAACCCAAAAAAAAAACTAGTAACAAAAGGTTAACAACCAAGTTACGAACAGAGATAATTTAAACTGATATTATGAAATTTAAAATTTAACAAACTTTAATATAATTAAAATAACTTATATCGAATTAAGATCGTTGTATAACAAACTCATGAACATCCTTCAATAGATGTTATAATTCCATTTAGAATCCAGACTCGAAGCCATCTTGATCGTTAAGAATGTTCATAAACGATATACTTTTTTATTTATAATTTTTTTTTTTATATTTTTTTATATAAATATATATACTCTTTTCTGAATAAAAATACGATTTCGAATATGACTTATTGCTAATGCCCGTCCACTCCACCGTCCTATCGGCCAGTACGGCTGGTAATTTACTTAAACTTCTAACCGTTAACATTGCGCCAAGTTCATAAATCGAAACATAAACACGATCCGTGAGGACGTGAACATAATAAAAAAAAACGCGAGAACCGCGTTACGTACTTAACATAAGATCTTACGATACAGATCGAATCAGGACTAAACCCCAAATCGTCTATACGAGATCTACCTTAAAATGATGTACCACACCCAAATTAATATCGAATAGCAAAACATATGGAATCTTTTAAAGTAATACAAAAATTTTAAATGAAGAAGCGACTAATTTTTTTTTATGTTTTTATTTTTATGAAAGTTTTTAAAACGTCGGGTGTGATATACCATGTTTGCATCACAGTGTAATGACTGGAGCAAACTTCGTTTCCCTCATATCAAATCACTGGGAAGTTGATCGATAAATAGGATTACATGTAAATTATTCAAGTGGAATATGAAAATTGTAAATTAACATACATTTAAAATTATTTTTACCAAATTCTATGGTGTTTTGTAGAATCAGCAGGTGATATTAGAAAGAAATTAAAATGAATATAGAAAAATTAAAATTGACCGTCATATTTCTATATAATCGGCAAATTTTTACCCCCAAGGCCTAGACTGAGAGGTTGTGTATTATGTTGAACTGAATAAAACTAAATTTAATAATCAACCAATGAAATAAATCATATAATAAATTAATATTTACATGTTCCACTCAAACACAAACTTATCATCTAACACGTAACTAATATTTACAGCTACTCGTTTTTCAAAAATTATTTTCTTTGACTTATTTCCGCTCCACGCGTATCCATATTAAAGTCTAGTGCCTACTAAAATCTAAATATCTAGCGTGTACTAAGCTATATAATAAAATTATACACTAACAAGCATCTAGACGTAACTCAAATATTTAGATATATTTAAAAAAATATAAATACACCGTACCGGAGAGCAAAGCTATAGCAAGGTTATAGTTAAAATCATACGATAGTTATAAGTTAGAAGGAAATACGCGTGTTGTACAAACGCGTTAACGCTATCGACTCAACCGATACAGTGTACGATCTGGCACAAATGATCGAAAATATCATCGGGTCAATGACCTGTGAGGTCCTTGACCTGGTAGGTAGTATCGAGCATTTGTGACAGATTGGGTGCGTCACAGGAAACCCTGGAGCACCGTATATTATCCCTCATATACAATCACTGGGATAGTCGCTCTAAATAATACACACCACTTGATGCGTCTTAAATATAACTATTTGAGCTTTCAATTATTAAACTACACAAACCGCGATTTTGCATCATCATTTAACGAGAGCGTTATATCCTTCATATTACTACATATATCTTATTCCCTATTTCTGTATCATTTCGTTAAGGCCTTCGCTTACATACTAATAAATCTTTTCTATTTACTAAATCTAATTACAGATTTTAGAAATTTTTTATAAACTATTGACTATACGATCGACTGACTTGACGAGTATAATTCAGTTAAACGATATTCGAATAATCAAAACGACGTAATTGAATCTAAATAAAATCCTAAAAAATTAAAAAGGTATTAAGTAGTTTAGACTGATATGAAAAACAACGAACGTTGAAAATAATATAAATATAATAAATAATAATAATTCCATCATGTATGGTTATGATACGTATCAAAATTGTCCGAAGCCCTAAGATAGAATAGACTCATCTGATCACATTAAAGCTGCCCGGGACAGTCACTTCCATTACACGTTAACATTACTCGTATATAGAACTACCCTACATATGGGGTTTAACTGTTTTTTACCATCATTCCTTTACACAAACCAGACTGCATCAACGGGAAGACATACTGATTACGAACGTGTGGTTATGAATTAATTTATTAATTGTAGGCACATGACGTTATTGTTTATGATTATTAATTGAGCTTTACTTCGGTTACAGTTGAACGCTACTTTAACACATTCCGCTTTATGATTTTAATATAAATAATCAATAAACTATTAAATTTTATAAACCATATTGAAAAGCATTGACAAATTAATTACATCAGAGATAAAATGTATCTTTTTTTTATTAATACGGTTCGTTTATAGATTGTTGCGGATATTATTGTTATTGAATTACACCTAGAACGTACTTACACTAGACTTAACACTACCATAACATCGATATTATTAGAGGCACATAAATAGACAAACCGGTAGACACCGCGGAAAAAGGGCAGCAAGTAGACATTACCGCTAAGATGAGAACGCACAAATTATATATAAACATCAACAACACATAAATATATACATATTTACAGATACATAATAGAAATTAAATCGCTACGCGAAACTAAACACTAAAAATTAAATACTTAGAACATAATATGAAAATAATGTATAATTGGGCTAAAAATTGGACTAGAAGGGACCAGACATCTCACTGCACCCACGAAGCTGGAACCCACAGCGGCTCGGACTGCACCCGCCACGCCGCGCGCAGCAGCTGAGTCAGGGCCGTTGCCAGATCAGCGTTGACAATCTCCTCATCAAACATATATCCGTACAAAAAGTTAATCCGATTCGACGACCGTATAATATCCGCAAACTCCTCCTCCTGTACCATACCAATGATTTTTATTCTCCGTTTGTATGAAATAAACTATTTTTATGTATATATAAAATTTCAAACTACCCACCGTAAACGCCCTAGAGCTTTCTTTGTCAAACGTCGAGCGAGCACTCGCCGCGGTTCTTGTTTCGATTAGCCTTTCGAGCAGGGGTGGCTTGATAAATACAATATAAGGTCGCAACCGCGGCGTACGCAACATCTTCAAGGCCTGCCAGTGGGGGCTCAAAACACAAACACGCCCTAAAACAAAATAAAAAAAAACTTGTAAAAAAGTTTCAAGTTGTAAATGTAAATTCAAAAAATGAATTAATTTGTATATTTAAAAAAAAGCAGATATATATTTAACCGTATGATTCTTTTTAAAATAGATTTCAAGAAAAATTTAATTATATTCATTTGTCTGCGCATACGCCTAATTGGCCTGCGCAGGCGCAATGTCAAAGACCCATGCGCAGACGCATTGCGTATGTGCATATAGGAGTGGCTCTTTCCAAATAAGTTTTCAAAATATTCGCACCGTTCAGCTTACAAAATTTTCAATAGGGGTAAACATATATCTGTAATTTCTCATAAATGAACAAAAGCAGATACATATAAAGAAAAATATAAATAAAAAAACAATGTCCATACGTTCTCTTTCAGAATAAGATACTATTTAAAAATATTTAATTCGCATTGGTTATATTTTATTTATTATTAAATAGCCAATAAATAGTTGCTTCTAAACATGCCACAAAGGTTACAGCATTGCTTAACGAAAACAATTTATCGCACCTAATTAAAAGCATAAATATTGAAATGACAATTTGACTGTTTGAGAAATAAATCGCGCCTGTGCATTTGAAAATTGTTGAGGCATGTGGCATTATTACTATAAATTACACTTGCTCATTACAAAAACTTCACAACGCATGCGTGTAATAACATTTTATCGCGCATGCGCACTTGAGCATTAAACGACGTATGCGCACTCAAACACGCATGCGTATTATTGCATCTAATCACGCATGCGCAGTATTGCATCTAATCACGCATGCGCAGTATTGCGTTCGATCAAGCATGCGCATTGTCGCATTCAATCAAGCATGCGCATTGTCGTATTCAATCAAGCCTGCGCGTTATTGAATTCAATCAAGCATGCGCATTATTGCATTCAACTGGTACTGCATTCGACCACGCATGCTCGAGTTGCATTCGATCACGCACGTTGATTGTATTGCATTTCAACACCCATGCGCATCAATTAATGCAATAACGCTTGCGCGTTATAAAATTCTCAATACCCATGAGCATTAATGCATTCTATTAGAAGTGCATTTCATCACCCATGCATAATTATGCATTTCAACACGCATGCACCCACCCTCTTGCATTTTTAAGGTATGCGTATTTACTAATATAACACAAAGACACGTTCGCATTAGTACAAAATTTTACATATAAATTTCAGTTTTACAATTTTCCTTATGACAACGATTAAAGCAAACGAGAAAAATTTAAAAACTAAAAGTCATGTTCTTATGAACTTATGTTCATTTATTTTATTATTTACATATTAATTGAAAAAGAATCATTTTATAATAACGTAGGACACTGTTTTTTAAATATAACCAAAACCAAAAATACAAAAGAACAATATAAGTAAATAAAAAATTAAATTAATCTTTTACTGGTATAAATATGTATATAATTAAACTCACCTGAATTCACAATCGTCTCCACACTCTCCGCAGATGTTCCGTATAAATTCCCCTTGTACTCGCCGTGCTCTATAAACTTCCCTTCAGCAATATTCTGTTCCATTTTCTCCCGCGCCACAAACACATAGTCTTTACCGTTCTGTTCACTCGGTTTCTGAGCTCTGGTTGTGTCTGATACATAGAATAGACGGAATTCAAACAAATATTCAACATAATAGAAGAGCTTGGGGGTTGAAACTTAACAAAAAACACGACCGAACCAAATGAGAATCGAACTGAAAATGAGCCCTGAGAAATTCGGCCGCCTTATATAGGGGCACCAAACTGCGTAATAAGGAATTCGCGCTTGCGCTAAATTTTTCATGATGGCGGCGGAGAAGCTTCTAGAACAGGTGCGTTACAGGGGTTTTCGGGGGTGATCGGTGAGGGGTCATATCGATTTTCACAACAAGCCACGCCCAATGTCAAGGCTGTATATGCATAGAATCTATAAATCTACAAGGGCTATAAATCATTCCTTTGTTTGCAACAACTTATAAATGACATTAAAACGTCATCGATATCTAAAACGGGAGCGTTTTGTTACTTTTAGATATAGGTATCAATACAAGTTAGAATAGACTTTATGGATGTTAAGTGTTTTTGTATTAAAATATATTTTTTTTAATTTTCCCAACTTAAATTCAACTTGTGTCTCTATAAATAGTATAATATTATATTCAGAATGTCCATGATATCTAAACAAAATCTTAATCCAAAAATATTAATTATTAATTAGTAATACAATAATTATCATTATTACGATTTCATAATATATTTTTATGAGCCAAGAATTTTATAGGACCTAAATGTTAGTTCGTAAAACAGGGGATACGCCCAAAGCTTTCTAGAAATTTCCAGACCGAAATCAATAACTGCATATAGCTTTCTCTTTTGCAACCGTTAGGTCCCAACCATCCCAGTTTTATAACCTGAATGCAACAGACATGCGCAAATACAAATCTCCCAGGTAAAACACTAACAGGACGCCATGTTCCCATACATACATATATATATAGAAACATAGTATACTCATAAAATTTAAAAACGTTTTAAAATATATTATATATTTAAAAATAATGACACACAAATGTATATCCACTTAAAACTGAGACATTTTAATTTTTAATGATTTGTTTATCACATAGTCTCATATTAAATAATATGAATAAGTATGTTATTTAATGTGTAAAAACAAAAAATACATAATAATATTAATAAAAATAATAATTCGATGAACTTGTAGCCACGTTTAATGAGTCCCGAAATAAACAGGGGTGAGGGTGGGGCAAGTCGCAAGGTAAGACAAATGACACAAGGTCAATACCGATTCGACCCAAGTTCAAGTTGAAGTGCCTTTGTATTGTGATAGGGCAGACGAGCTTCTGCTTATATTATATTAATTAGATAGAATCTAATATTTGATTTTATATCGTATAATAGGACATAATGATCAAAGTCTAGAACGTATCAATTTGATCCTATGTATGAATTTAGTATATTGAGATTTCCATTTTTTGATTTCTAATAGATAGATAAATAAAAAATATATTTTAATGGTTCAGGTTCTATACGTATAACTTGTATAAAAAAGGGACATGCCCGACGCTTTCCAGAAAGTCCTTAGCATTAATCAATAAATGCATGTTGCTCTCCCATTTCGTCACAGGCAAAATCTAGCAGCTGTCTAGCTTTCAGACGCCCACGAATAATGCATGCGCAATACAAACGTCCCGGATGAAGCTACGGCCATGTTGAATTGCATTTATAATTAAATTTTATTACAAGTGAAAATGGAAAAAAATACGAATTATATGATTATGAATTTAGTTATTAACAATTATAAATGACATGAATCTTCTATATATATAAAAATGGTTTGCTGTTCCTTAGTCTCGCTAAAACTCGAGAACGGCTGAATGGATTTGGCTAATTTTAGTCTTGAAATACTCCTGGAAGTCCAGGGAAGGTTTAAAAGGTGAGAAAAATTGGAATAATTGCCGGGATAACCCTAAAAACAGCCCTTTTCTATTTCCCATACAAACGTTTTTTTTGACATTAGATTTGACAACTAACTAATATGTCAATCATTCTGTTTGATTGAAACAAGAAAAACCTGATTACTTATGGCCTCTAAGACGGAATAGAGTTCGCCTGGTCAGCTATACCTACATAGGTATATTACTCTTGACCAAACTAACGCGGACGAAGTCGCGGGCAAAAACTAGTTTTTAATAAAAGATGCAACCGATGGAAGACAAACAAAAAAATATAATTTATTTTTAACTTAATACGTCTATTTGCAAAGTATATTAAAATTAAAACACGTTTAAAGAAAAAACCACTAAATACTTTTTATTTGAACATACTTTATATTTTATTATATTATGCATTTTATTATCTTTCTTTAAAACAAAAAAATAAGAAAGAATTATAAAAATACTGATGCTATATAATATATTTTATTAAAACTAGCGTCTTTTAGTTTAGACGTTGATACACGTTGTTAGCAAAACTAAACCGATTTACATTGTACCATTATTACCCTAATGATTTGTTAAAATAGGTAAGTTGAAATTAATTATATTACAATATGCCTACAACTTTAACTGATAAAATTATATATCAGCCTCATCTAAATTACTTAGACGACGGAGAAGAATACATATTACTTTTTTTCTTAAGCAAGTACTTTAGCTAGGTTTGGTTATGCGGAAAATTTTTGCTATATCATGATTTATATATTCCTAGTTATTCTAGAAGTCTCCAGGTCTGAATCAATAAAGCGCATGTACAAAAAATCCTTCTCTCTTCCTCCAGTTTTGCTACACTGTCTAGGACGCCTATACTCAGGAGCATGCGCAAATGATGTTCTACGCAGTTCTTTTCACACCTACACATTATACAGGTAGATGTTTCTATTAAAAAGTATATAATCTTTTCAATGAATTATCTTCATTAGCTAAAATATAAAAAATTGGGTAATCTTCAAAAATATATAATATCAGCATGAATATCTATTTCTTAATTTATAATATTGCAGCTATTTTATTTAATTCAGTATATTATTGTGATACTTAAACCTTATTCAACAGTTATATCTCAAAAAGATGAATTTATAATTTTTTTTAGAATCGTTTAAAACTTTGTAACTATTAAGTTTTTAGCTTGAACCAAAGGAAGACTCGTGTCTTTAACCAAGCATTTAAATTTTTTATTAACAACAAGAGTAATTAAAGTATCGACCTATTACAAAGTAGGTATAACCAATAATTTTAACTACTTTTTTTGTACAAATGACACAATTACCAACCAAAGGAACTTTTTTTAACAAAAATGGTAGTACATAACTTAAAGTACGCTTAATAATTTTGGTCACGAATATTTCACAGCTAAAAGAAAACAGTTGATACGAGTCATAATCTGAATGATAGAAATTTCACTAGAATATTATAGAAAAAGTCTATGTAATAAGGTCTAAGGTGTAATAAGCTCTTTTTCTTTGAAGTATTTCCGAATTTGATAGATGATAGGTAATTATACTCTTATAATCATATATGGGAATAAATACTAAACTTTTTGTCAATTCATCAAAACAGGAATTATTATAATGATAAGTTTCCGAAAAACATAGGCATTATTATTTTTTTATATAATATAGTACTTAAAAGAGATTTATGTATCGTGCTCGAAATGGCGTCGGACACGTGTGAGACATCCGAGGAGGTCCAGGGCTAGAATCAATAATTTTATATCTAGCTCTTTCTTTTATTATGTTAGCTCTCTCTGATCGGGGTTCTCAGATCCCTAGGACGCCTAGCTACGAGATGAAACAGACATGCGCAAACAAGACTTTCGGTCAAAATCAGACAAAGACTTATTTATTGACACAAAAAATAGCGAATATTAATAAATTAGATAAAACAAAAGCTATTTATGTTATTAAAATAACACTGTATTTACATATAATGAATTTTAAATAATTTGTGAACCGTTATAAAATTTACGTATATTTACAAAACACTTTTAATCATGTCGTTTGTTGTTAGTATTCAGTATTCTTAAAGAAAGTTATCATCACAATACAAGCGAAGCGTTTCCCGTTTCTCATTCAACAACCTAGCTTTATACAATAATGTGACAAGATTAACGCCTTTTTTTTTTTTTTTTTTTTGTTATCGCGGTGAAAGGTTTTATACCTACCCCTCCGTCTAGGGGAGACAGAGGCGGTTATGTGGGATTCACGGCCAGAAGGGCCCATGTTACCCACTAAAACACCAGCGGTCACTCTCCGTTGCCGCCAAGTGGATCGCCACGGGAAACGCCGAAGCATGCATCCGCGACGATCCGGCGGCGGGCCGCGAACGGCCACCTCCCCCCTCGAGGGCTCACTCCAAGTGACCAGGAGTGTCCCCCCGCCTGGCGGGCTTGCTTAATCGCGAGAAGGTTAACCCCTTACCCCTCCCACCCAAGCCCACGCGGCCAGTCTCCAACCACCCACCGACGAGCGCAAGCGCCCGACGGCAGACAGAGAGGAAACCGACCGACCACCATCAAACTCAGGCCTCCGGAGAGACCCGAGTATCCCTTCCCCCCCAAGACAGCCACGGACGGCCTCCTGCCAGATCCGTGACCGTCTTACTCCCAGGGCTGTACCCCCAGCCCTCCCCCCCGTGACTGATTGCACCGGAATACACCAGTGGGCGATGGGGTCGTCACGTCCCGACGCCGGACTGCGCCGACAGTGGCCGAGGCCACCCGCCAACACGTAGGGCCGAACTTGGCAGCGGCGGTGTACACCGCCGAGCCTCATCCTACCCACCTCCATGGGCTGCACCCCCAGCCCGGGCCAAGACCCCACGAGGAGGTCAAGGCCCTTCCCCCCCGTGACTAATTGCACCGGATACACCGGTGGGCGATGGGGTCGTCACGTCCCGACGCCGGAGACAAGATTAACGCCTGAGCAACTGTTTACGTCACTATCGTATTACAATGGAAAGTTTGATAAGCCATGCAGATGATTTCCACAAATTATAGACAAAAAGATTGAGCAATAATTAATTCTCTTCTAAGAAAATTCTATAGTTTTTTAAAGAAATAAAAGACAAAGAAGGCGACATTTAAATACTGAATTTAGAGTTCTTTAAACATATACATTTGAAGAGTTAAAAAATGTGGTTAAGAAATTGTTTCTTTTCATTTAGTTCATTAACTGTAGTTATATTAATTATTCAACAACAGATGAATGCGAAATTAGTTTTAATTTATATGTCGCAACGGGGTTTCTTAGACGAAAATGGCGACAGAACACATATATACCATGTATGTACTATATATAGGATCAAGCTTTCTAGAAATTTCCCCGTCAGAATCGATAAGTGTGCATATTGCTTTCTCTTTTATTACCGCTAGTTTTCCAGCATCCCTTGGACGCAGTTAATTTGTATGCAACAGGCATGCGCAATGTCGAGTTTGAAACAAAGAAGAATACAATTTTTAAATTATTTTAAACGATACTTTCAGTGTTTCTTTTACACGTCAATCTTAGATATATGTATTACACGTCAATCTTAGATATATTTGAACTTCTTTCATTCTCTTTCAGGGTAAAAGAGATTTAGGATGAGATTATAACGATTAAGATAACAGTCTAAATAGGAGTCAAAACTAATGTTATGTACCTACATGTACGTCTGAAATTCAACTCAAAAGAGTTCTCATATTTTTAGGATAGAAAATTAAAAAAAAAAGTGTTAAGAACCTTTTTAATCGACTTCATTTTAAATATTGCCATACGGCTGTTACATTTTAGTTTAATTTATACAATTATCAGTTTTGTCTAATTAAATATTAATTAAATAACTCAAACGGAACTTTTCCATTGTAAAATCAGATTTGTTGTACATTAACTTTATGAACTTCTGTCATGAAGTTCGACAAATGAAACTAATGATGCTACATCATTATTTATTCATCAGGTCAGAACTCAACAATTGGATTA